CCTCTTAGCTTTCTTTGATGACCCCTAGTTCATGTACTGGAAGAAATGGTGAACAACTGATCCCTATCCATGCCATTCATGATTTCATAGATGTTGACTTTACCTACCACTTACCTCTCTGAAGCAATCTGGGCAGTGTTTCAACCTATAAGCAATAGCAAGAAGTGTTGTAATTGTGTGGTGGAAGGAAGGTTATTTATACAAAAATATTCCTGACTACAGAGATAAAACATGGAGAGACAGCAAATAAGACTCTCATGGAATGCCCTGTTTTGACAGATGAGTCTTCTCCCTCCATTTTATTATGTGATAGCTTCACGGTAATACCCCAGGTTCCTCCAGTGTTTCAACACATCTGCATATGGCTGGCATCTGCAGGTTGATTGAATGTTCTCCCTCACATCTCTCACCCTGCCTTGCAGACCTAAGCACCAGGAGATGGGCAAACATCTGCTGGCCCACAGAGTTCCCCTCTGCCAGATAAACAGCGTGACACTGAAGTATCTCCCCAAGAATCAGTTTTGGAGGAAGGATGAGTCATCCATTGCTGGCAAGTTCTGTGCAGCCCAGCTGCCTCTCAATAGCAAGTAAGTCACAGGAATATCTTACAGGGATCCACTGAGCCTATGCATGCAGCCTGTGGTTTGAAGCAATGCGTTCTCTCTGCTGTTTAGATAAACATGTAAAGAGGTCTCCCATGCCCTCTGTGTCCCCATGGAAATAATTTTCTACCTGTGAGAGAGAAAACTTCCAACGTAGTTTTCTAGGGGTTTTCTACAATTCTTCCCCCAGGATAAGTGTGTTGTGCAATGGAAGGAAACTGGCTGTGACTCACATCACCTTGAAGATGCTTAAGTCACAAACCATGGCAAAGGCTTGTACTAACTAGAATTCGTTCCTTTTGTCCTTGCTTGTTCTCTCCATCTTCCCTTTCCCTAGAATGGGCGCCCATTTGAAACATGACAAACACACATTTTTCTGGGTGAGACCACAGAAGACCAGTAATACATTTCTGCTTCTTATACTGCACAGGTTTATAAAGCACTGAGGCTAAAGACAACCATTTGGGCATTTTCTGGACCAGGCATTATACAGTATATGCCTTCAGCCATAATTACCTTACCCAGAGCAGATGCAGCCAAGTCCTTCTCATCCTGAAAGAGATAATGGTCTTCTCCATAATACAATACTCTTGACAGGAGTTTTGCAGATCCAGAGTTTTTGCAGGCAGGGTAAAATAGCTGTGTCTATATTGACGCATTAAACTCTGTCCACATTGCTTCTGAGTTGACTTTTATGCTGGCTCCAGGCTGAAGCAAGCTAGTGGGCACTCCAAAGTAGGGAAAACCAGAAGCAGACGGCAAACTGGGCTCACATTCAAATTCTGTTCTGATGAGCAGTAAGGAGACTTGAGCACAAGGCAGTAAAAATACATCCAGTAGGCCCAAGTAGGGGAAAAAAGAGGCATTCCTATTCCTATACCAGGGACTCCTCTGAGTATAAGGGCTATTCCTTACACTCCAAAGTTGGGATGGATGTGCAGATACACGGCTTTTTATAATTTCTGAATGGGACAGTATGGCACATTGCCTTAAAGGTGTGCTAACCTGCACCCCTGGAAGCACTGAACTTGGCTGTGGTTCAGATAGAAAGCTTTAGAGTTGCACAGGTTCACAACTATGCTCTTATCACTAAACTGGGAGCACTCAGAGCAACAATGGTACTGCTAGGAGGAGGCGGCACAAAGGTGAAGGACACAACCCTGTACATGCTCCTCCAGCCAATTCATCCTAGCCAGGGCACAGCACCCTGTTCATCATACCCTTGCAAGGCCACACAAGGTCCATCAGCCTCTGTGTTAGGATAGCAACCTCCACCTGTGAACGCACAGCCTGACTTCCCTGTGTTCTTCTCGCAGCAGGACAATGTCATGCCTGCCCTGGAACCTCACTCTCCCTGGCAACACAGACATCTCCTATGAGCTGCCCACTGCTTGTGCCTAGCGCTGCCTTCGGAGCATGCAGGCTTACCCAAAACTGGAAAGGAGCTCTAAACGTATTGCTGCTCTCTGCTCACAGATGATACTTTCACCATAAAATTGGACAGCTTATTTACTTCCTGCATTAGGGACAGGATGTCAAGGAAAAGAAGTGTGTGGCAGATCAGAGAGTACAAGGTTGATTGGTTACAGCAAGATCTCTCAATTAATAGACTGGACTGGTACTTGTATCTTATGGATTCTGCACCCAGATCTGAAAGTGAGACAGGCAAGTCATTTCATCTCAAGGTATGGATCTGTATGAAAGAAGAAGATAATATCAGTCTTCCTACAATGGGAATATTGGGATGATTCATTTGTGTTTACAGTAAAGTGTCTTGAGAACTTCAAATTAAAGGTGAGAAGTATTATTTTTTCTCATCAAGAGGAAACTGTGTGGTTCAGGTTTGGCTATGGGAAGGAGTCATTCTTAGCCAACACTCCAATGGAAAACTCATTGTAGGCCTATCGACAAGACATTTTCAGAGTGAGACCCTATTGCTTTCATGTTAGTGCTCCTGCTAAATAATCAGAATGAATCTCCTTCCCATAACAGGACTGGAGCAGCTCTTCTGGCTGTTGGTTTGTTCTCTTTCAAGCTCACGTGAAACAGACACCAGAGCATCGAATTTTGCAGTGCTTTGAACTGCCCAGAATAGAAGGTAATAGGAGGAGAATGGAGCATCATAGCAACAGGGCCACCTAGCACAAATTAGTCCCAGGAACTCAGCACAGCCCTTCAGACCTCGAAAAGTAGCCAGGGTCTGGGAAGATCTGGAGGAAGATTACAATATGAGGAACACATACATAGAAACAGCCCTCACCCATCCATGCCTTTTCCACCACCTTGAGGCATATGCAAATGAAAGAGAAGACAAATCTTACATCACTTCTGCCCACAAACCACATCTTCTGTAGACTATTTTCTCTGGTTCCCTGGACTGGCTTCACCGGGTGATACAGAAGTGCACCAGGAACACTATGGTCAGGAGTGACATGCTAAAGGCATTTCTGTTTTGAGGAAGCCTCAGTCATTTGGCAAAAGCTGTCACTCCTGCTTCACTAGGCAGGGTCACTGCAGACTTAGCTCCTGCTTTCAGCTCACATCCAAGCTTTTGGGCCATGGCACATGGCTGTTTGGAAGGCCAGCTAACAAACCCCATCTCCAGCATACATTCAGGACAGAGTTAGAGCTGGGCTCTGACAACCTGACAGAGATCCGGGTTAGTTGGTGCCATGACTGAAGAGTTTCCAGGGAGCTTGCTATTGAAGACTGGAATATAACCTCAGCAGGCACCTGTGAAGGGTGGTGTTTAATTCAGCCCAACCCAGCCCACTGCTTCAGGGAGGTGTATAAAGCACCACAACAGACACAGTTTCATTGTGCATTTCTGTTCCTTTGCAAAAGGGACCCTCAGCAACATTCCTATTTATTTGCTGGAGACATTTCCTAGCTGTGAAGGGCAATGAAGTCAGGCTGAAACAAGAATGCAGCCATAAACCATGGTGACGACCATTAGCAGGATGATCCCCAGGCCTAATGCAGCCCCGTTCTCCTGCCCTGGGGTGACAGCAAAGGCAAGCAGCGGTGTACACCATGGATTCCACATACCCACCACTTCAGAGGCCTCTCTGGACCTCAGCAAGAGTGTCAGATCCCGAGGGCACAGATCTCACCCAGCTGAGACTTGCGAGACATGCCAAACCGGTCTCTGGGCCACAGCCCCTGTGTGAGCGGCACAAGGCAGGTACGGCGGCCTCCACCAGCCCCAGGCTGACACAAAGCCAGGCCTGCACACAGAATGGCCGTGCCCCTGCATGTCTGTGCCAAGAGGCACTGAAGAGCACCCTGCCCTGTGCGTGCTGATGGGAGGGACTGACGCTCCTCACTGCCCTGGATGTCTGCCATGGAGAGGCTCCTACCCTCACCACCCACGCTCTGTGGGACAGAGGATTCCTGTACCGGTACTGCCATCTCTGATTCCCTGACAGAGGAAATGGCTGGGGAAGCTTGCCGGCAAAGCCTTTTGCAGCTGAACTGGGAAGAGGCCTTCCATCTCCACGCTATTTTCATCTAAGATATTGCACTTCTTCCTACCAGTGTCTGCTCTCCCCAGACATGTTTTGTACTCATTCATTTCTTCCCTCAGCATGTGCACCCTGAGGTCATCCCCCGCTGAGCACAAAAAAAACAAAGAAAAAGGTTTCAGGCTGTCCTTCTTGCCTGCACCTGCCCCCAGTCCCAATTCCTCCCCTTTCATATTCCATATGAATCAACTCAAACAACCGACCTTTCACCAGAAGTGAGTGACTTCTTTGAGAAGCGGAGCTTTTCATACATGAGAAATCCTAACCCCTGGAAAAGGAATTTCTGGTCTTAGTCCAGTGGATGCCCAGTGAGGTGCATGATATCAAATCTCCCTATCATGCTCTCCATTGCAACCCCATTACCAAAACCATCAGGCAGCCCACATTACAAGCTTATTACCAAAGCCATCAGGCAGCCCATTTTCCCCTGTCCTTTCCCCTGCCTTGAGATCATCTCAAACCTTTCAAACGGTGTTATTTCCCTCTCCAAATCCTCAAACACCAGTAGTTTCATCTCTGACTTTAATGGGAATCATTAAATCAAAGGGAACACAGATTCTGCGAGCAGGCTGGTATCGCTTGCAGCGATATCAGTGTACCTTGTTATCAGAGCTGCCGCCACAGCTCAGAGAGGCAGGACTAGAAAACAAACCAGGGAAGAACACTGGGGCAGACAGCTCTGGTGAACAACCGTGGGGTGGGAGGTGCTGGAGTGTCACACCACAGTCTCACGCGTGTGCTTCATGTGCTCCCGAGTGTACATGTCTGCAGGCAGACGTCTCAGTGCTTGCTAAAGAGTCTCTCTCTGGTCAGAAACCCATGTGAGCAGATGCTCCCTTGGAGGGGCTTCAGGATCAAACCAGCCTGTTGTTCCCTAGAGTTCGGGGGTGTGAGTGGGAGCCAGAGGGGCTCGTCCTTTGCAGAGAGCATGGGGGTAACTCCGGAGAAGGTTTTCAGAGGCTGCAGAAGGAAAGCAGGGGAGGAGAGGGGGAGGAAAATGAGAGAGGGGAAGAGATAGAAAGAAAGAGAGCACCATTATTATCACAGGAATAATTCTTACTTCCAAACTTTTCCAAGAGACAAACTTCATGGAGCCCATCACTAGCTCTCCTTCTCCCCTCCCCTCCTAAATTAGCATGCAAAACTATGTAATTCTTCAACATGTGATAAATCAGAAAATGGGGTTACCCACCCATCCTGAGGCAGCAAAACCAAATCCCTCCAAAGCACCTTCTGTAATATCAGTTAAAAGCCTACAGCTCCTTTGATTTTGCTCTCAAAGCGGGTATAAACCAATTCCTACTAACTTAGATACTAAGCTACAGGCCGCCAAGCATCCATCCATCTGCCTCACCCATCAGATAGAAAGCCAGCCCCCAGATCTAACTGTACAAAACTAAGTACCAGCAGCCCCACATCTTGCAAGCGCTTGATAGCAATGAACTAGAGCAAATGCAATATGAAAACGGGGATAAAGCAGGTGGCTTTTGGCTGTTTGAATTTTCATGCAAGGAATAAAGCTTAGTTTGCTATGAAGCATTAAGCTATACAGCAGTGCACTGTTGAAAGAAGTTTTGAACAGAACCTTTGAAGCTGCCTCTTTTAAACAGGCAGCCTGTAAGTTATTGAAATATCTCTCCTCCTGAGAGAAAGTATGTGCTTATCAGCGGGATATCACAGTCTGTCTTGCTCATAAGCAGATGAGAAGGTCTTTCAAGGAACTAGATGATTAGAATAGTAGGCCAATATACGTCCCAGGAATATTTTGTGCTGCATGATCTTTGCGGGACTTTGGGCATTCAAGAATTGCCCTCCTGCACTGTGGCATAGCAAGGTGGCCGTTGCAGTGACAGAAAATGAAAAGGAACATGATCCATAGAAGCAGTTTGGCACAGGGAATTTAGAGAGGTGGAAGGTGATTACCCAGGTTGGAAGTTGCTGGGGAAGCAGATGAGAGCACAGACCTGGGGAAAGCCCCAGGGGAGCTCCGATCGCTGGGACCACAGCTATCACTTACTTCAACCAATGACACTGCAGGGAATATCCCTGTTTACGATGGATGTTTTCACCACTTCTAAGGAAAAAGTTATGAAAGTGCTTTCCCTGGGCCGTGGCAGACCTGCTCAGATTATCTGCTGAGCTGTGACAAGTGCCTGGCCAGAAGGGAAAACTGCAGCCCCTCCGTATCACTAGTTTTTGTGGTTAGGCGCTGAGGTTTCTGTGGCATATTGTCCAGATGTGACAATTGCTGTTGTGCTGCTGGGACATGAAGTGATTAGGATACCCACATGGTGAGCAGAGTAAACAGGAAGTGCTCGTTCCACTGTTATGGACACACATAACCAGACTTAGACTTCCTTGTCTAAGTACCTTAGAAATTAAAATACCACACTGGCTATTGTCTCCAGACTGACAGACAAGGAAGATCCTCCTCCTCTCCCACTGCTAATATCAGCCTCTGAAACATTTTGGCTTTTACTGCAGGTCTCTACTACAAGTATCAGTGCACCTTGATACTGCCTCATTCACAAGATCTAGAAAGACAAAAGCTTCCAACGTGTTTTAAAAGGATTGTGTGAAAGAAAGAATAATTTTGGGCTGTGTAGCACAAGCTTTGCCCAACACACACATACACACACACCTCTTGCGTGTATGTTCACAGTATTGACTCACTACCAAAAATGGGTGGAAACTAGTGAAAAAAAGCTACGGTGCCCCTTGTCTCCTTCCTCTTATAATTTCATTTGAAATTCTGATTTTATTGAGTTTGGTCAACCAGGAGACTTCTGCCAATGACTATACAAGCAAAGCATAGACAATGTGACTTTGCCACGTTTACAACACTAACTGCATTCATTTTTGATTGCATCTATTCAAGAGACATGCCTGACAGTTAGGAGGATGGCTGTCTCATAAGGGATTCCGTGTTCCTGCCTCTCCACATAAGGACCGAAAAAGCTGCAAATTCATATCTCCAGCAGGCTACCAGCAGAACCAGGGACTTCACATTCCTAGGACTACTAAGCTAGAAAAAAAAAGATGTTTTTTTCTCTGCCTCCATTAAAAAAAAAAAAAAAGAAAAGCAAAACTCCTGCTGACTTTTTATCTGCTTCAAACAAAATACACTTGTTCCTTCAGTTTCTCCATATCCCAGATTTTAAGTCTGGAGGCATGGAAGCAGTACAGCAACAGACACTTAACTCAAAGCAGAACTGTACAAAACAGGAATATCTTCCAGTTCCACTGTGCTGAAACACTAGGAACAGCAAATGCATAAACCAGTGAAAAACACCGCTTCCACCAGAGACCTACTACAAATAGCAAGTGCTGTCTGACCCAGACAGCCTTTTCATATAGAGCACCTAAGAGGGATGGTCCCTTTGCCATCACAGTGGTGAGGCTTGTACACAAGTACTGCAAGGTAGGGAAGATTACTGCAGACTTGCCAGAGCTTGTGCCAAGAGTCAGTGTGTCCTGCTTCATGCTCCCTGCCCCTGAGTCCACAACCTGAGCATTTGCAGCACAACAGTAGACCCAAGAGGGCTCAGGGAAGACCAGGGTGTGATGGTGCATCATGTTTGAGGATGCCTGCTGGAAGACGGTCTCCCCAGCTGCAGCCCAGCCCTGCAACTTCCTCCCTGTCACGCAGACTCAACCGGGACACATGCAGTGGTTGCTTCTAGGACAGAAATCCCAGTCCCAGGCTTGGTGTCTGGCAGCTGGATGCCAGAAAGCAGCTATTATGGGGTGGAAGCAGGGA